AGTTACTAATTTTTATTATCATTATTATGTGAAAAACGCAAATTTTACTAAGTATTACACCGCTCAATAACTTTATATTAAATGTGAATTTTGTAAATCCAACTGTTAAATTGAAAATTCTTTACTCTTAAATCATATAAATTGAGAATATTATGATATAATTAGATAAGATTTTAAGTTAGTATTTTATTAATGGTTGATAATTAGAAAATAAAACAAGGATAAATACATTTTTTGAATTTTATATGGTTGATTTAAGGTAAATAAATATATTAAATTAATTAATAATTTATTTAAAATGTTAAATTTTAATTTATAAGTATGTAATAAATAAATATTTATAATTTTATAAATTATATTATCATTATAAATTATAAAATTAAATAATTTAAATTATAATTTTAAATAGAAATAAGTAGATGTTAATTATAAAAGTAAGTACATATAAATAAAGAATAAAATTAATTTTACAAGTTATACTGACAACATACATATACATTTCGGTAGCTTACTCATCAGAACTTTACAGCAGAAATTGCGCAAGTAAGGATAAAACACGCTAAAAAGTGAAATGTCGTGAAATAGAATCTTGAGAGGCCAAATATAAGGGATGTTACATTAATAAATTTATTAAAATTAAAAAAAATTATAATTTCTGACCGAATTTCCTAATGAAAATATCTATCAAAAAATTTTGACAGAATTTTCCGTCAAAAATTTTTGACAGAATTTTCTGTCAAAAATTTCTGACGGAAAATTCCATAAAAATTTTCTGACGGATATTTCTGTTGAAATTTTTTTACGGAATTTTCCATCAGAAATTTTCAACGGATTAAATTATTTCCGATGGATTTTTTTTTTCTGACGCCACTTTTTAAGACGGATTTAAATCCGTCAAAAAAAAATCCATTAGAAATTTACCCTTTTTCGTCAGAAATTTCTGTCAGAAATTACATTTTTCTTATACTGAAAGTCAATTACATTAGTTTTTGCATATAATTGTCAACCTCAATTATAGAAGTTTAACAGTTTGTAAGTTATACACCTAAAACCCTCTTTTCTTAAAAAAATGAATAAATGGACTAGGCCCATGTATGAGTTGAAAGAAAAAGGAACAAAAGAAAAAGGAAAAAATAAAATAAAATCTGACCATCCAAGGAACAACATATCAAATGGGCTTGGCCCACATAATTAAAAACGCAAAGGGAAGAAAAGGAAAAACCATCAGAACCCTAAACCATGAAACAAAAAAGGGAGTTAAGGAAAACCATCAGAAACCCTTATATTAGGGTTATGAGATAAGCTCTCCAATTTCTCTCCGTAAACGATGCACTAGTGGTAGCCGGAAGAAGATTGGGGCATGATATCACTACGGTCAGTCAAGCGAGTGAAGCGGAAAGGGAAAATGGTAGTGAAAGAGAGTAACTCGAAGGAGGTAAGAGGGTCACTATTGGAAATCATTTTTGACGGTGACCCACAATGATTCTTGTGAAGATTTTTTTGGGAGAAAGAAGAAGAGGCAAACACCACCGTTGAAAATCATTTTCGATGGAGGTGGCTCAAGGTGGTTCTTGTGTTTTGGCCACAGACTCACGGAGCACGACAGAGAGGTGATAGAGTAAGCGAGAGGGAAAAGAAAAAGGAAAAACAGAAGAACGCACGGTAGCCGCTAGAAATCGGCACGTACAACGAATTGTTGAGGTTAGTATTCTTTTCTTTTTATTCGTCTTTACTTGCAATAAAAATCAATGAGGTGCACACACAAGTATTACTACATGCATAAAGAAAAATTTTAAATCATGGTGAGTGAAGATGATACCACAATTTTGAGGCTCTGGCTTGTGCTTATTGTCTGAGCTTTTTCCTTCTAATTATATCCCAATTATCATGGCTTCTTTGTTCTATTTTTTGTTAATTTTTCATCCCCTTGTTCATCTTGTGTTCTGGTATTTATAGGCACACGATTTTTGAATTTGATTAATCTAATCTATTTTCTTTGCCAAAATCCTTAAATTCAGGGATATGGCTTGTGAATATGGTTAAGAGACAATTTTGGAGATTTTTGCAAGGCATGGTGGCTTGTTTGCAGTGGTAAGGTGGCTCTGTAACAATTGTAGCAGAGTAGTTGAGGGGGAGCAGTTGCTAGGGTTCAAGGAAGATAACGGAAGATATGATCAACATGTTTTTTTCTTATTTTTCTATTTTTTTTTGTTTTTTTAATATGTATTATATTTTGTAATATGTATGGGCTGGACTTTATCATATAATTTGATTTATACAGGAAGACAAAATTTAGAGTTAACACACCTTTTTCTCTATTATGAGTGTGGTAGAGTGGTGTCTACACAAAGTAGTTAGGGCTGGTGCAGAGTAGTCCTTTTCAGTGTCTTGTCTGTGATATCCAGAATTTTCTCTTTCCATCTTCACACAATTCTTTGACATTCCCTTTTTGAAGGCTTTCATTTTCCTTGTTGAAGCTTTCCATTTGATCTGTTAAGGAACAAAGTATTAATGCTTCTTAAAGTAAAATCTGACTCTTTAACGAGAAATAAATATAGCATTAATTCATAACATGCAGTTTGTCTGGTGCACTTTGTCTTACAGACAAAATATAACATCTACATCGTCTAAAATGGTCTCTTTTAGAGAAACTCATTACTTCTTAGTATTGTCATAGAAGGTGTTATAAGAAACTCTAGTATGTTTAGAAAATTGTTTATTATCATAAAAACTTATAATATTTCAAGGGATTCATAAATGTCTTTTGATTCTTCTGAATTTCTTTTGATCTTACATGAAGCTTGAATCCATAAATGAAGATTGGAGGAGCAATGAAGTTAGTTGAGTGGATTTGGAGTTTTTTTACTCTACTCGATTCATTGAGAGTGTTTAGGAATTCAAATTTTCATTAATTGGAATGATTTTCCAAATATTCTTTTTTTTTTGCAAAAAGACGTGATTTGATAATATATTGACACATTTTTACACATTCAATTGATTACAATAGTCGTGATTGATTAAATCATTATTTCCCAACTTGAAATGTTACATTTTTGGGAAATTTACATTATGTAATTAATTAATATAACCTGTAATCGATTATGGTTAAGAGACAATTTTGGAGATTTTTGCAAGGCATGGTGGCTTGTTTGCAGTGGTAAGGTGGCTCTGTAACAATTGTAGCAGAGTAGTTGAGGGGGAGCAGTTGCTAGGGTTCAAGGAAGATAACGGAAGATATGATCAACATGTTTTTTTCTTATTTTTCTATTTTTTTTTGTTTTTTTAATATGTATTATATTTTGTAATATGTATGGGCTGGACTTTATCATATAATTTGATTTATACAGGAAGACAAAATTTAGAGTTAACACACCTTTTTCTCTATTATGAGTGTGGTAGAGTGGTGTCTACACAAAGTAGTTAGGGCTGGTGCAGAGTAGTCCTTTTCAGTGTCTTGTCTGTGATATCCAGAATTTTCTCTTTCCATCTTCACACAATTCTTTGACATTCCCTTTTTGAAGGCTTTCATTTTCCTTGTTGAAGCTTTCCATTTGATCTGTTAAGGAACAAAGTATTAATGCTTCTTAAAGTAAAATCTGACTCTTTAACGAGAAATAAATATAGCATTAATTCATAACATGCAGTTTGTCTGGTGCACTTTGTCTTACAGACAAAATATAACATCTACATCGTCTAAAATGGTCTCTTTTAGAGAAACTCATTACTTCTTAGTATTGTCATAGAAGGTGTTATAAGAAACTCTAGTATGTTTAGAAAATTGTTTATTATCATAAAAACTTATAATATTTCAAGGGATTCATAAATGTCTTTTGATTCTTCTGAATTTCTTTTGATCTTACATGAAGCTTGAATCCATAAATGAAGATTGGAGGAGCAATGAAGTTAGTTGAGTGGATTTGGAGTTTTTTTACTCTACTCGATTCATTGAGAGTGTTTAGGAATTCAAATTTTCATTAATTGGAATGATTTTCCAAATATTCTTTTTTTTTTGCAAAAAGACGTGATTTGATAATATATTGACACATTTTTACACATTCAATTGATTACAATAGTCGTGATTGATTAAATCATTATTTCCCAACTTGAAATGTTACATTTTTGGGAAATTTACATTATGTAATTAATTAATATAACCTGTAATCGATTAAATCAACATGATTTTAAAGTTTGTGTTTTCCTAAAATGTTAGTGTAATCGATTACGACCCCTAGTATTCAATTATAATGTTCTTCATTTTTCTAGGTTTCTACTTTAAACTAAGTAGTCAATTACAATACTTAGTAATTGGTAACCAGTGAAAGTATCACCCTTTGTTTCTCAAATTTTACATAATGTGATCTATTAAATCGACACATAATCAATCACAACAAAAGATTTTGCTCCCTAAGGAACATTCTTAATCTTGTGTGCTCGATTAAACCATTGTGTAATTAATTACAATAGGAGGTTTAACCTTTTGAGGTTATCCCTCAAGGCTTACGTAATTGACTACACGCCCATGCAATTGATTAATGCGAGCCTATTTCATCCTATCTCACCTACGGATGATAATCGGGTCTCATGAGAGTGGGTAATAATAAATCAACCCTTGTCCTGGTGGATAAAAATTGGTCTCATACCTACCTTATATCCATACGGGTATCTATTAAACGAGTATTCATGAATTTCTTGAATAATCACAGATATCTATAAATATTCATGAATATTTATAAATTTTTAAGAAATTAAAAAAATTATATTACAAATAATTTTAAGTTTATATTTAATGTCTTTGAAATATTAAAAATAAAAATTCAATGTTAATTCACTACTAGAAAGATACTATTTAACATCGTCAATTCCACATCGATTTAGGTAGAATCGATGTAAAAATCGGATGCGATAGCATATTTGTAAATAAGAGTATAATGTAAAGCAAAATTTACATCGATTATGGACAAAACTGATATAAATATTAAACATTTTACATCATTTATTCTGAGACGAATGTGTACATCTACATCGGTTCAAGTAGTAACCGATGTAGTATAGTAGGAGCCCTTTCCCACGGAAAATTCCGTTTAAGCATCTTGTTCAACACAAAAAGTCGCGCGACCCAGCCATCGTTGAATCGCCATTTCCCCCCGAAGAACCCTGTCTCGAAGCATCTTGTTTGCTTTGTTTGGTGACCTGTGCAAGCCATTTCCCCCGAAGAACCCTCTTTCAAAGCATCATCTTCTTCTACAAAGAAGTGCGTGCAAGCGGTATGGTGGAACCCTAAATCGTGTTTCTTCTCTACACGAAAGTTGAAGGTGTGATAGGCGATTTGTTTCGCTTGGCCCGAGCATTGTGGTGAACCTAAGGAATTTAGTTTTGGTTAGGGTTCCAGGGGGTTTAAGGTTTGGCTAACTCTCATCTCTTCTGTCGCCCTATTTACATTTAGTTTACACATAATGAAGTAACAGAGTACAATTTGAACCAGTGCAGTTGGTGGATGCGGTTGTAAAAGTTCCCTTCTGGTGAGTTTTTGACTATAACAATTGTTCTTGTTGTATACTGAGATTAATTTATATATGATAGAACAGAACAGCATTGATTTGCTAGCTTGATCTGTGATATGGTTGAATTCACAGTTGATGGTTCCTCTGTTATGACTGGTTTTGGGAGAGAGTTTTTGTTGCTGAAGTATGTTAGAATCCCGTTGTACGAGGTTTATGTAATAAGTAATGTAATCTTTATTTCATTGACATCTAGTTCCACGGGATAAAATTGATGGGTATGTAGTGGATAATAATTTAAGCAAACTTTTGGTTCCTTTTGTTTTGGAGTAGACCATTTTCGTAGCCTTAGCTGCTAGTTTGTCTTTATGTTACACCTGACCATTGTATGAACTATGAATGTGATCTGTGGTGTTCTGGAAGAGGTTATATGTCAAGGTTATTGAAGGTACTCAGTTTTGCAGTAATAAAGAAAAGCAAGTGGTGAATTTCAAGTTATACTCTACTATGCTATACTGACTGCAGGGGCTAGTTTTCTGTGATAAAGTATTGGTGCAGTGGTGATTTTCTTTCAAATCTTATATGAAGTTATTGTCAGCAAGTTTATAATAATCAAGAAAGAAATTGTTGTCAGTTGGAAAACAGAACAAATGATTCTAAAGGTCCAAATTTATTACGTGTGTTGATTACTATATTATACCGACTAGGGGTGGGGGGGCAGTTTTCCAGAATAACATTGTTGTTGGAGTGATGAATGATGATCTTCTTTTCAAACCCTGTTTATATATAGTGTGTGTATCTAATGTGAGCGTGAGATGTAAGAGGAGTTAAATATTGGTCATGCTACTAAACATGGATAGTCAAGATTGTTTTACTTAAATCTAATGTTGATTATCTATTTATGATTTTATGGTAAAAATAAGTTCCTCTCATAAGAGGACGAGCTCACCAGATATGTTCCTACAGTCCTATGCATACATAATTAATAATTTAATGAATAATGTCTTGAAAGTCTGATATGAATTTCTTGTCAGGAAACACATTAATAAAAACAAAGTTGTTGTCAGTTGGCAAAACAAAACATAAGGTCCTGAAATTACTAAATGCATTACGTGTGTTGATTTGATAAGTAGATCACAGACCCAAGAGAGTAAAAGTGATGCTTCATTATTCGCATGATGCCAACAGTCCTATTGACTATATTTGGTAATTTTTGTAAAATTACTTGAACTTTATATTTCTGGCCTGGGACCTTGATCATCTCTGCATTGTTCTACTTTAGGTGTTTTTCCTTTAGATAAAAAAATTTCATGAAACTTTGTTATAATGTAGTTTGTGGATGCTTTGTATTCAAATATTCATTTGGAGAAATAATATATCTATATTAGCTCTTTGACTTATGATACCCCCCACAAGCTGAATGGTGGAAGATGTCCACCTTGGTAATCAAATTTTGAAACACCTCTAGATTAGAAACCTTGGTGAAAATATCAGCAACTTGAGAAGCTGAATTGATGAGCATTGGATTACCAGCTATGTGCAATGCACTTTGGCTGTCACAATACAAAATAATCATGAAAAAGAGATTGGCATAGTTCGTAAAGCAAGTAAGCCATTGAAGCTCCTTAGTGGCTGGCATGGCTGCTGCCAGTTCAAGATATTTAGTCTCAGCTAGAGAGCAAGATATGTTGTTTTGTTTGTTGGATTTCCAGGCAATAAGAGAATGTCCTATGAAAAAATAGAATCCAGAAATAGAGTTATGAGTGTCTAAACAATTGCCAAAATGTATTGACATTAAACTTATAATTTATTTTGGATTCTTACAATTTCCAAAATGTTTCTAATTGGATTTGTGCCTTGGCTGTTAGGTATTCATTAATTTAGCTATAAGATGTAGAAACTCGATATGATAGACTGGTCATGTGGGGGAGTAATTAGAAACATTTGGTAATTATGCAATCTAATTTGAAACTTTCATAATATTGGTATCTGTTGAACAAGAAAGCATAGGTGAATTCTATGTATTTAGAGCATAGTGGAGCTATTGAATTTATAGTAAAGAGTATATAATTACACAATATTTACTTACCTATTTTTGGCTATTTACATAAATATATAATCAATCTAATTAATCCTATTATACATAGTTACTATATTTACATGATTCTAATGGTATATTAGAATGTGGGCTTAGACGATAATTTAATTTAATTTTAATATAGAGGAATTATATAGTAGATCAATCACATACTTCTAATAACCAATATCAACAAATTAAAATAGGCATGTTTCAAATTGATTTGGTGTACTATTTAGTTAGATAGAAATAAATATAGACTCTGATATATACAATATTTTTTTGACTTGGTGTACTCTAAATATTTATAATATGACAAAGATTTGTTTGATTTCCTTTTATCAGGTAGCATTGAGGCACAAAAGTGGCTTGAGGTTAGCTATTGAGTTTTATTAGGTAACATGTTATAAAACTTGATTCCAGGGTTATCGTGTGTAGTTTATTATTATTTTTATCTTAAACATGATTATAACAAAAGTCACATTATTTTTTCAATTTTTTACATTGGTGACATTACAAAGTATGAAGTCCTATTACTTTCTAATTGAACTCCTTTCACTGATGAAGGTTGCAGCCATATTTTTTAGTTGCATATGAATTCTACTTATAAAGGATTTACTGATTTTAATCCAAGCCAAGCCATTCTATTTGGTTGAAGTTTTCCACAATATTGAGAAGCTATGGAGTGGTTCAAGGAAGTGATGTCTATTTTATATAGTTTTAATGTGTTCTAACAACCCAATAATTTTATTGTCTCTTTCAACTATGTTTCCAATGCAGCTTCATAACAACAAACTATGATACCCTATACAATGGTCAAAGTTAATTTAGAGCTCCCAAATCAACAACTTCAACTTGCTTTATTTGGAGTTGGCTCGGGAATGTTAGAATTGGAGACTAATAAGAACTAGAGCAACCAATCAACACTATAGTTTGCTGCCAACCTTTATATTGTTCTATAGTACTAAATTTTCATTCATCACAATCTTTTTATGTTGTTTTTTGTAATATATTTTTCTAAGTTATAGCTGGCTGTCATAGTCTTATAGGGATAAGACTGTAATTCCTTTTTATTTGTCTATTCTATTCATTATACTTCTAGTTTTGATATATATAAATATACATTATGAAGCTAAGTGAAGTAAGACACACTTAAGCTTGTCTTTGGTATTCAATCTTTTTATTTTTCTCTCTTAAGTATTGTTATATACTCTTAAGACACACTCAATCTTTGTCTTGTATTATGTTTAAATTATAATATTATATTGTTTTAAGCTTAATTTAACAAACACAAATTTTATTTTTTAACTCAAATGATTTTTCGTGATTAGTATTTAATAGTGTGATACTATAAGAAATTTTGGGGTAATTGATGTAAATGAATTTTTCCAACTAAAGTAAATGTGCATATTGAACTTTCTACATGGGTTATTGATAATATGACATATTTTACATCAGTTATTGACAGAACCGATGTAGAATATGTCATATTCTACATCGGTCCTTAACAGAACAGATGTAGAATATGACATATTTTACATCGATTCTTGACAGAAATGATGTAGAATATGACATATTCTACATCAATTCTATCTAGAACTGATGTCATGATAATCTTATACCCAGGTGGTCATATTAACATTCAATTTCAAGAATTCCCTGTACCACAGGTAGTCATCGCCATCTACCGTTATTATTCCAGTCCAGAAGTCTACATTGACATCTACCCAATCTGAAGACATCAACAGTTTCAGTCATTACTGCTCATTTTGCGGAAGTGTACTGTTCACTTTAGTTCACTGTAGCGGAAAATTTCATTTTACTGTTGAAATAGTAATCACTGTTGTAATAGTAAATTTAGTTTTCCTGTTTATACCAATCTCTGCCCATGTTGTGAGGCAGAACTTGTAAGTGAGAAACACCTTCGTGTAAGAGAGCCTAGAGTGAGAAACTCATCCTTCTCTCTTGCCTTTGTATTTCTTATTCAATCAAATACAATTCTTTTGTATTAAATCTTGTTCTTTCTTGAGATGTCCCTGAAGTGGATCTAGGAAAAAGGGGAAGAGGGAATGTGCAGATGCAGCAGTAAACCAGATTTACACGGCGGTAGTCCGCACAATACTGGATATCAAGGGCACACCTGACGAGTCAGGCTTACAAATCTCAGGTTTCCACAAACTTTATGATGCAGAAATGTAATGCAAGAAAGAACAAGATTTAATACAAAAGAGTTGTATTGATTGAATAAGAAATACAAAGGCAAGAGAGAAGGAGGAGTTTCTCACTCTAGGCTCTCTTACACGAAGGTGTTTCTCACTTACAAGTTCTGCCTCACAACATGGGCAGAGATTGGTATAAATAGGAAAACTAAATTTACTATTACAACAGTGATTACTATTTCAACAGTAAAATGGACTGGAGTAATAACGGTAGATGGTGATGACTACCTGTGGTACAGGGAAATCCTGAAATTGAATGTTAATATGACCACCTGGGTATAAGATTATCATGATTAATACATAATTTTATTGATGATTGATAAAGATTAGTCCTCCTCGGATGCTTCTTCAAGATTAATTCCGAAGCAATCGTCCTCATTCTGGAAATATGATCCGGATGAAGAAGATGGGGAAGATACTTCTTTCTTTGCTTGATTCTGAGTCCGTCTGCAGTAGATCAAGGATTTGATGAAGATTTGCAGTTAAAACTTCATCATTTGTTGACGCTGCTAGGGCAGCTGCGATTTTAGCCTTCCGGTTAAGAAACTAGCAGGTTTCTGGATCAGCGGCCTTAAGGTTTTTTGGATTCTTTTGGAACCAAAGTGCCACTCCCTGAGAGTTTGCCCTGGAAGCATCAAACTGATCCCACCATTTAACAAAGGCTTGCTTGCCTAAGATTGGGAGGAGCTTGGAGGTTTTCTTGAACTGGTGTTGCCAGGCAAAAATCCAAGCTAATGAAAATTTGGAGAAGAAATGAAGAGATGGGTGGAACGGGTTGGTCCCTTCTTCAAATCTTGCTTTGAATTGATTGTATCCTTCCTTAATGTCTGGGGGAAGGATATTTTGAATTGGTCCGAAGAATTCCCACCACTCAGCAAACCATTGTGGAAAGAAATATCGAACCTTCTGTTTAAAATAAATAAGCTAGGAATGCCTATGATGTTTGTTTTGAAACCAGAAAACATTTGTCCAGGCATTGATGTAATCCCAGTAATTATACCCTATTGGGTCAAACGGCTGAGAAAATTTTCTGACTTGATTAGGATTGTTTTCAAAATCTTTAAAAGTAAAGATTTTAAGAATTTGAATTGTTGAATGTGTGATAAGCTGGTTATCACTTTTGTCAAAATTATGTTTAATAGAAACAGACTTTGAATCTACCAAAATAAATTCGTAAAATTTCCTTGTCTTGTTAAGACTAAGGGGTTTGAAAAGAAACGTTGGTGGAAAGATTTTTTACTAGGAGAAATGGAGTTTCAACCTAGAGGTTGTCATTTTTGATGATTGCCGATGGAAGCTTATACTGGATCTCAAGCCGTGAACCATTGGCAGTCCTAAGCTTCTCAGAAGTTTTGTGAAAGTATTTGGTCGGAATGATTCCTTCCAATATACAGTTGGAATCAGCTCCAGTATCAAATAGAGCAATTGTATTTAAAACAAAGTCTTCGATAAGAATGGTAACATCAATATAGAATTTCTGGATGCTACACTGATTAATCAAGGCATTGAAGAGAGCGTCCTCATCAATAGAATTATGATCGGAATCATGGTCATCACTATGATTGTCATGGTCATGCTGAACCATGTTATCAGAAAAAGCTTCAGTTATCTGGGATATAAAAGTCTCATGCAACTGTTGCTTCTTTTTGAGGTCTCGGACCTCAGATTTAAGGGAGTTGATTTCAACCTGCAGGTCCTGAATAGTAACAGGTTTGGCTGCAGATTTTTCAAGTCGTTTGAGGGTTTGAGTAAGGTCAAACTTGTTATTTACAAACCTATTATCAAGTTGTGACTTGTTAGGCTTGTGAAGGATTGTTTTGAGTTTTTCCAGATACTCATCCCTTTCATGAGGATCCTGAATAGATTTTAGGGCATCAAGAAGAAGATTTTGCTCATTATTGTGAATGACATTGATGAGAGGAGAATTAGAGCTTTCGTTACTAGAGGAGGAAAGATCGTCATCCGCTTGAATGTCTTCAGAAGACATTTGCTCTTCTTCTTCATCGCTACTGCCGGAAGAATTTATCAGAAGATTATTAAGCTGATCCTGAATGGTAGGATCCAGATTAAGTTCTCTAACCTTAGAGGAGATTCTACAGAATTTGGCTAAGTGACCACGACGGCCACATTTGAAACAAGTCCTAGTTTCCCTAGAATTGTTAACAGGATTAGAGCCCGGAGGAGTGGTCTTCGTTGCAGGAGGCCTACTGGTGATTTGTCTAGGCTTAAATCTAGAGACCCTGGTTCTAGGCTTTTGGTGTTTCTTCAGCTGAGGCTGGGAGGATTTCCTATGTTTTGTTTTAACAGGGTCCTTAGAACAGGGAAGACCGAATTGATGGCAAAAGTTTCCTAAATCTTTGCGATTCTGTGCCTTTTCTTTGGCTAATTGTTTCTGGATTTTGTCATCCTGACAGATTTTGAGGGCTACTTTTTGGACAGGCTATGAGATTTCCATAACTTAACTGGTTGTAAGGGATATCGCCATTAAACTAGGATCTGATTTTTTCCCTAACTTTATCTCCTAAAGATTTTGGGAGTCTAGCTAGGAACTTTTCTTACCAATGGTTGGTTACTATCATCTCGAGTGTAGACTCTAGTGAGTTTGCTCAATGGCTATGCATGATGAACTGAATCAATTTAAGAGAAACAATGTATATGACTTAGTTCCCTCCAATAAAGATATGAATGTCATAGGAACCAAATGGCTATTTAGAAATAAACTAAATGAGGATGGTGTAATAATTAAAAATAAAGCTAGACTAGTTGCTAAAGGTTATAATCAACAAGAAGGGATAAATTATTATGATGAAACCTATGCACCGGTAGCTAGACTAGAAGTTGTAATACTTTTGCTTGCATTTGCATGTGTTTATGATTTCAAATTATCTCAAATGGACGTCAAAAGTGCATTTTTGAATGGCTTTATAGATGAAGAAGTATATCTATCCCAACCTCCTGGTTTTATTGATTGCAAACTGCCTAAACATGTATACAAGCTTAAGAAAGCATTATATAGGCTTAAACAAGCTCCTAGGCAATGGTATGAAAGGCTGAGCAAGTTTCTCTTGTCTCATGGCTTTCATAGAAGCAATGTTGACAAAACTCTTTTCATAAAGAGGGCCTCAAAAGATATTTTGTTAGTTCAAATTTATGTAGATGATATAATCTTTGGATCAACTAACACATCTCTTTGTGAGGAATTTGTTTTAAGTATGCAGGGCGAGATTGATATGTCGTTGATGAGAGAACTAAGTTTCTTCTTAGGATTGCAAGTTAAACAAATGAAGAAAGGAATTTTTCTACATCAAACCAAATACAACAAAGAGCTACTAAAGAAGTTTGACATGGAGAATTGTAAAATTTCAAACATCCCTATGTCCACTAACTGTTATCTAGATAGTGATGTTGTAGGAAAGGAAGAAAAAGAAACAAGATTTAGAGGAATCATTAGATCACTCTTATATCTCACAACAAGAAGATTCCAATCTACACCTAAGGAATCACACTTGAAAGCTGTGAAAAAGATTATGAAGTTTCTAAGGAACTCTCAATGTAGGATTGTGGTATCCTAAAGGAACATCTCCTTCCTTAATTGGATTTTCTAACTCTGACATTGCAGGTTGCAAGTTAGATAGAAAAAGCACAAGCAGTACATGTCATATATTTGGAGAGTGTCTTGTATGTTGGCATAACAAGAAATATGCTTGTGTAGCACTTTCTATAGCTGAAGCTGAATTTATAGTAGTTAGAAGTTGTTTTGCACAATCAATATGGATCAAGCATCAACTTCAAGATTTTGGATTGAAGCTAGGTCATATTCCACTAAAATGTGACAATACAAGTGCTATCAACATCTCAAAGAATTCGATTATGCATTCAAGGACAAAGAATATTGAAGTTTGACATCATTTTATAAGAGATCATGTGGAAAAAGGTGATTGTAATATTGAGTTTAT